GACGTCAAATGAAAATTTTCCTCAATATCAAGAGTGTGTAAACTTTCTTTCTAAGATTCTCATTTACTATTTATAGTAAATGAAAATTGTGAGAGTTGGCATTCAGCCGACCTCCCTTATCCTCACAAACTATATAATAACTAAGTACACTCACACACACACACACACTCACTCACACAAATATATATATATATATATATATTCCAAAATTTCAAATCAAAACTTATAACCCGAATAATACAGTACAACTCTCCTTGATATGCCACCCTTATTTCGTCATCAAAACATTTTACAAAACAATTCCATTTAGACTGCAGTTAATGGAATTACTAGTTCAAAACCATCTTTATCAAAATTCCCATTTATATATAAAAGCAAGTCAAAATGCAAATCTGGTCAAAATAGACTTGACCGGACTTTATCTCCGGTCAAGTCTAGGCCGATTTACAAAATTCGGACAACAAATCACCCAAGGCTTGTCCGATTTAACACTTAAGAGAATTTMAATACTTTTGTCTGGATAACAAATCCGGACAACACATCGCCCAAGGCTTGTCCGATTTAAAATAATCCGGTCAGCACATGGTCGTATTCATACTTATCCATTCAAAATATTTAACATAAACTCAATTTTTATAAATCGCTCAACTCTTGTCGGGTTTAAGACTAAATCGCTTGACTCTTAACCGGTTTAAGATTAAATCGCTTGACTCTTAACCGGTTTAAATCTAATCCGGACAATACTCACCAAGCGGTTTATTTATAAATCGCTCATGCCTTATCCGGTTTAGGGCTTAAATCGCCCAACCCTTGCCCGGTTTATGACTAAACCGCTTATTCCTTGTCCGGTTTAGTCTAATCCGGACATCATTCATCAAGTTAAAATAAAAGCTATACAATCAATTTATGCAATTGTAAAGAGTTTTCAAAGCAATTAAACCACTCACCTTGAAAGCCTTTTGCAAAACAGTCTTTTGTAAAGCTCAGATTAAAGTCCGGTCAGCACTTCTTCTTCTTAAATCGTACACTCACTTTCTAAAAATGGTAAGAAGAAAGTGATGGAGGCCTAAAACCCTCTTTATATACTTTCCAAAAGAAGTAGGGCGGTTAAACCGCCCTCCTCACATGCATGCATGCATCTCTTTACCGTCAAATAATTATATATATATATATATACTCATGCACATATGCATATACATCCATGCATATCACACGTATAAATATATATATGATACATAAATGTGCATCCACATATACACATAATCTCATTCATGCATCTACATTATGCATATTTTCACATACTAGTATGATAAATTATATCAATTTATCATTCTATCATGAAATCATTTAATTAGATAACCACGTATTTATTACCTCGGGTGATAACCAGGATTCAGTTATCACACCTTTGGGGGGGGGAGACAACTTATTATTTTGGTTCTTCAATCTTTACAACTATATTGGATGTCTATGTTTCTGTTTTCTTCTGGGATTATTCACGATATTGGAGCTCTTTTCCAGAATTTTGTTTGGTCTCCAAGGGATGATTCTAGAGGAAGGTGCAGGTTAACTTGAGATGTAGTGTGCCAGCCTCTTAAGAGTGGAGGACTTGGTCTTAAGCGTTTGGCAACTTGGAATCGAGCGTTACTTGCTAAACATATCTTGGACATTGTGAGGCACCGGGACTCGTTGTGGGTGAGATGGGTGTATCGGAACAATCTTAGATCTAAGCACTTCTGGATGGCTCGAAAAAACTATAATTGGTCGTGGGTTCTGCACAAGTTGTTGGATTTACGTCCTCAATTGCAGCGGTTTAGAAACTCCCAGATTGGTGATGGACATGATTCAAATGCTTGGGAAGATAATTGGCTCTCTTGTGGACATCTATCTTCCTTCATTTTCTATAGATTCGTTCATTCAAGTGGATTCTCGACTAATACTACAGTTCGGGAGTATATTCAAAGACTGGATGGGGTGTGGCCGACTGATTGGTGTCTTAGCTATGCTGTGCTTGCTAATTCTCCATTACCGTCCTTGCATGAATTAGTTCGTGATAGAGTATTATTGGTTGATAATCATAACTCCGGTGTAGAGTTCACGTTTAGTACAACTTGGTCTTCACTGGATGGGAGCCACCCGATTGTGCCATGGTATAGTTCAGTTTGGTTTCCTGGCCATATCCCTAAGCATGCTTTCTGTCTGTGGCTTGCTTGTCATCACCGTCTTCCTAGTCAAGATCGAATGCTATGGAAACATGAGCCTCCGGACTTGGAATGCTCTCTCTGTAAAAACTGCATGGATAACCATATCTATATCTTTTTTTAGTGTAATTTTTCAAAAGAGGTATGGGAAAGTATTTTACAAGAAGTGGACTGGATGAGTATGTCAGATCCTTGGGACCACATCATGGAGGTTATATCGGATACGAGAAGATTGCCTAAATGGTTACAGCAGAAACTAGCACTTACGGCCTCGGTCTACTATATTTGGTAGGATCGRAATAGAAGACTTTATACTGAGAATCACCGTATGGCTGCAACTTGTAAAGGAAATTAAAATCAAAATTTGTATTCGTGCGGCGTGGAAGGAGAGATGGGTTGAGAGGATTGGCGGCATATATGAGGGGTGATTTTTTGCTTGGTGGGTTTAGGAGGGTGGTTGAGGGGGCTTTTTTCCGGTTTAAGCTCCTTTTGATCCTATTTTGTAGTTTGTATTTGTCTGTTGGGCTTTGTACTTTCTAACTCTTTGTGGCTTGGTATGGTGTGGTGACCAAGTCCTTTGCTTTTTCGTTTGGTTGGTTGTGGCTTTCTGCCTAAACTATGTATTTTCGTTATGGTTTTTATTAATTTGCCTGATTTCCTTTGAAAAAAAAAACAGCAAATAGACTCATTCTACCTCAATTACTCCTATTTACCTCTTATTAGATTAATTATGACCTATTTAGTACCATCATAACTCAATTAGACTCAAATAGGGGCTTTTCTGTGGTTTAAGCTCCTATTGTTTTTTTTGTAGCTTGTTTGTGTCAGTTGGGCTTTGTACTTTATGGCACATTGTGGCTTGCTATGGTGTGGTGACCAAGTCTTTTGCTTTTAAGTTTGGTCGGGTGTGGTTTTACGCCTAATCTCTGTACTTTTTTTAATAGCTTATAAAATTTGCCTGGTTTCCTTTAAAAAAAAAACCCCAAATTGAATCCATGATCTTCCTCCCCCCCTGAATTCTCTAGAGGCTCGAATCTGTTTGAAAGCGCCGTTGAATCAATCATAGAGGTATCCGTGTGACTACAGACAAGGAAATTGTCTTGAGTGCATCGCTTAGGGAAACAAGGGGTCAAGGGGAGGAGGTTCAAAACACCCCATCATGTTAAAGTTCGCTTCTTGGAATATCTGGGGATTCAATTCCCCGGTCAAGCAAAAGGAGGTGCGAAATTTAATTCATTGTAATGTTTTAAGTTTGTGTGCAATAATAGAGTCTCATGTTTCCAAGGAATCCCTAGAGAATGTTTGCCTTCGTACTTTTGGTCATTGGTCTTGGATCTCAAACCAGATGTCATGTGACTTTGGGACCCGTCTAATTCTTGCTTGGGACTTATGGGTTCTAGATGTCATGATTCTTGAGGTCCATGAGCAATTCTTGAATTGTGAACTAAAAATTAGGGGAGCCCAAGATCCAATCTTCTTTTCTTTTGTTTATAGGGCCAATAATAGCAATAAAAGGAGGGAGTTATTGTCAAGACTTCGGAAATTCAAAGTCTTGTTCGGATCTAAACCTTAGACTGTTATGGGTGATTTCAATGATATATGGTTTCCTCATGATGATTTCGGGGGGTCCTCTCGTAGAAATGCTGATATGTCAGAATTCTATGCTTGTGTGGAGGATGTGGAGGTTTTTGGCTTACATTACACGGGCATCCACTTCTCTTGGAACCAAAAGCCGAACCAAAAGGGGGGTATTAAGCGCAAACTAGATAGGGTACTGGCTAATTCAGAGTTTACTTCTATGTTCCATGATGCCAATGTTCATTTCATGCCTTCTAGTTTATCGGATCACTCTTCGTAGTTTGTCCTTCAAAGGAGGAACGCGGAAAAGAGTTGAGGTTTTAAATTTGATAATTTCTTGGTCGAGCACCCGTCTTTCATGAAGTTTGTGAAGGATGAATGGTCAAAGCATGTAGAGGGGTCCTTCATGTTTCGGGTGACATGTCATTTGAAAGCCCTCAAGACCCCTCTATGAAAGCTCCGTCATTCCTATGGCAAACTTTCGCATCGGGTTTCTTTCTTGAAAGCAGAACTAGATCAGATACAGTTGGCGGTGGATAATGACCTCTCTAATGTGGATTTGGGAGTTGATCTTGGTCACCTACGACTTGCTTATCAAAAAGCTTCCTGGGATGAGGAATGTGCCGCCAAACAGACAGCTAAAGTTAAATGGTTAAATGAGGGTGATTTGAACACTAAATTCTTCCATAGTGTGATTAAAAGAAAGGCATCATGCTAATTTTATTCAATCTGTTTGCACTAGCCAGGGCGATTATGTATATGGGGACGATGTCTCTACTGTTTTTGTGGATTATTTTAAGGGGTTTCTTGGTGAGCGGGATGTTTTAGTTGATCCGATTATGCTGGATGATCACTTTTCTTGGAAGAATTCATTATATGAAGCTAACTATATGATCCGGCCTTTCTCAAATGAGGATATTATAACTGCTATGTTCAGTATTGGTAACAATTAAGCTCCAGGATCAGATGGCTACTCGTCTCATTTCTTCAAAGCTTTATGGGATATTATCGGTCGTGATGTGGAGATTGCAATCCATAATTTCTTCTATAGAGGTAATCTTCCGAAAGAATTGAACCACACTTGCTGCACGGTGCTATATAAATGCATCTAAGGTTTTGGATTACCGACCTATAGCTTGCTGCACGGTGCTATATAAATGCATTAGTAAAGTCATCGTTAATATTCTTATGGCTCATGAGCTGGTGTCGTGTTATCAAACTAGGGAAGGGCCTCCTAGGTGCGCGTTTAAAATTGACATTAAGAAGGCTTATGACACGGTGGACTGGAAGTTTCTTTTTAACATGCTTCAGGGAATGGGGTTCCACCTGGTTTTGATTAAATGGATAAAGGAGATGGTTTCTACTTCTTATTTGATTGCGGTTAATGGTAATATGTATAGGTTTTTCCATGGGGGAAGGGGGCTAAGGCAAGGGGATCCGTTATCCCCTTATCTCGTTACGATTGTGATGGAGGGGTTCTCTATGATCCTCAAGCAATATATTCGGGAGGCTGCCGATTTTGGGTATCACAGGGGTAGCGAAGAGTTGGATTTACGCATTTATGCTTTGCCGATGACCTCTTTGTGTTTACAAAGGGTGATGTTCAGTCGGTTGAGGTTCTTAAAAAGGCACTTCATCTTTTCAAGAATCAATAGGGTTTAGGGCGAAGTCTTGAAAAGAGTGAGATTTTCTTTGGGAATGTCCCTCCTAATATTAAGGAGGCTATTCTTGAGTGTCTTCCTTTCAATCTTGGTTCTTTCCCCTTTCGATACTTGGGAGTTCCCTTATCCCATACCCGTTTGAAGTCAGATGATTATGGCCCTTTGGTTGCTAAGATTATGGGTCAAATTCTTAGTTGGATGTCTAGGTTTCTCTCCTTTGGGGGGAGAAGACAACTTATTATTTCGGTCCTACAATCTTTACAGCTTTATTGGATGTCTATGTTCCTGTTTCCTTCAGGGATTATTCATGATATTGAAGCTCTTTTTTGGAATTTCCTTTGTGCTCCAAGGGATGATTCTAGAGGAAGGTGCAAGTTATCTTAGGATGTGGTATGTCGGCCTTTTGCGAGTGGAGGACTTGGTCTTAGGCATTTAGGAACTTGGAATAGGGCGTTACTTGCTAAACACATATGGGATATTGTGAGGCAGCATAACTCGTTGTGGATGAGATTGGTGTTCTSGAATAATCTTAGATCTTCGCACTTTTGGATGGCTTGGAAAAACTCCAATTGGTCGTGGGTTTTGCACAAGATGTTGGATTTACGGAACCAATTGCGACGGTTTCTGATCTCCCAAATTGGTGATGGATAGGATTCAAATGCTTGGGAGGATAATTGGCTCTCTTGTGGACATCTATCTTCCTTCATCTTCTATAGATTCATTCATTCTTGTGGTTTTTTGACTGATACTACGGTTCGGGAGCTACTTCTAAGTCTAGATTGGGAGTGGCCGATTGATTGGTGTCTTAGGTATACTGTGCTTGCTAATTCTCCATTGCCATCCTTGAATGATTTAGTTCATGATAGAGTTTTGTGGGTTGATAATCACAACTTCAGTGTGGAGTTCATGGTTAGTACTGCTTGATCTTTGCTGGAAGGGAGCCACCCGGTTGTGCCTTGGTATAGATCAGTTTGGTTTTCGGGCCATATCCCTAAGCATGCTTTTTGTCTTTGGCTTGCTTGTCATCACCACCTTCCTACCCAAGATCGTATTCTTTAGAAAGATGAGCCTCCGGACTTGGAATATTTGCTCTATAAAAACTGTATGGATAGCCATATCCATCTCTTTTTCTAGTGTACTTTTTGAAGAGAGGTATGGGCCAGCATTTTACAAGCAGCGCGATGGATGAATATGCCAGATTCGTGGGACCAAATCAAGGAAGTTATTTTGGATACAAGGAGTTTGCCTAAACGATCATTACAGAAACTAGCGCAAGTGGCTTCGGTCTACTACATTTGGCAAGAGTGGAATCGAAGACTTTTACAAAGAACCAACGCACGGCTGTGCAACTTGTAAAGGAAATTAAGAACAAAATTTCTATTCGTACGGTTTGGAAGGAGAGACGGGTTGAGAGGCGTGGCGGTATAAATGAGCGGTGAGTTTTTGTTTGGTCGGTTTTGGAGGGTGGTTGAGGGGGCTTTTCTTTGGGTTAAGCTTCTGTAGTTTATTTTTTGTAGTTTGTTTGTGTCAGTTGGGCTTTGTACTTTCTGGCTCTTTGTGGCTCGTTATGCAGAAATGGGCTTTTTAATGATCCATTTAGTGTAATTTTAAACAAATTGACTCGATTAAAAGAAATAGGCCCCTTACGCCCACTAAGGTCCAAATGGGCCCATTAAGGACCCTAAGAATCCATTCTAACTCAATTAGTCACATTAACATCGAGTTAGACTAATTATGACTCATTTAGTGTCATCTTGACCCAAGTCAACTCCTTATGAAAAAAATTGGGCTAATTGAACCCTCTTGGGTCTAATGAGACTAATTATGACCTGGTTGGTGTCATTTTGACCCGATGGGACTTCTCATGGAGAAATGAGCCCATTAT